TATTGAAGCCATCAAAATAGGTCTGGTATTGATTCTCATCAATGAAGAAGTACAAAATCAACTTATAAGCACAGTTACATAAATGAATATACTTCTATTATTGAACAAGTTTTTCCAATGTGGATGTCTATCAAATGAATCCAATTAACATTATTTATCGGAGAAGTATATTCGGAATCATGCTGCACAAATCAACCGTAGCTTTTGGCGACTGGCATTACCTTTTCTACGATCAGGCCACCACTATGACGTTGTCATGAACATGAAGTAAATCAACTATGATTGTTAACTCTTCCTTTTATCCTCTGTTATCCACCAAGAGATCCTTCTTATACGTGAGAGAAGATTCCAGTTTCCAATGGTATTATGTTGTGCGATGCGGTTAAAAACTAGGAAGTTAGCCCGCGCGTATGCGCGAGCACTTATTTAATGTTGCTTGAATTTTTGTTACGAATGTTTACATGTATATGATATTTTTAAAATAGATCTTGACTCTATTTTAAACATGTTTTTGTTAATATCTAGTGTGGACATATTACTTGAAACCGTACAACCTTGAATTTATGAAAACATGTGTCACGATTATGGAATACTGGAGTTGTTTCATATCTATTTCTACTATATGTGATTTTTTTAACCTGGATATAGGGTTTTTTAAATACAACCACGATAATTTCCAAAGCACCATATTATTGGTTTTATTTTGACAAATATCTATAATTTTGAGTTTGTTTTTTTCAATGCCTATTACTCATGATCAGATGAGACACCTTTACTAATTAATTTGGAGAATGAATCTATTTTCCTAAACTTATTTACAATAACTAATTTATTGAAGTATACTTTATAGTCACATCAATAGGGTGTATGACATAGGTCCATCAAATTATGCCTGGTGTGTTGGAATTCTTCAACTATAAGAAAATATATCATGAGTAGTTTATTGTGCATGTTACTTGATTGTTTATTTGCTATCAAAACTATTTGACACAGAGAAAAACATACATATGACCATAAATCTCATGATGGTTTAAGTGGTTGTATTATAGCAAGAATAATTGGCTTGAAATATTTTGCATAATTTTTTTACATCTATGTAACATTTATGTTGCCCACTTATCAGATATTAATGAAATAATTCTAAAGATTAAAAAAATTGAGAATCTTAATCTCTAACAAATTAAAACCAAATCAGATCTACTTAAAAAATACACAACTAAATTGTGTTGTTTTCATTTATTTTACATATGTAGATTTAAATTAGCATTGTGTAGTCGTCAAGTGATATTTGACATCTGAAATATGATGTGAAAATTTTTAAAATAGGAAAAAGTACAAATTACCCCCATAAACCCGAAAACCAGACATCTTTCACCCCCAACTACTAGTATCAGACGAATTACCCTCTAACTTAACCCGGAGTGGTTTTGTTCCTATGTGACAGTCCAGTAAGCATTTTTTAGAAAATAAAATAGGTGGGACCTACCAGTCATACTCTACCCTCTATCTCTCTCCCCTCTCCCCTCTCTCTCCCTCATTTCCTCAATCCCATTCCCCAGCCACTCTCTCTCTTATCCCTCTCCTTGCTGCAGGGGGCGGCCGGGCAGGCGCCCCGCCGCTGTTCTCCTTCTCCTTCGTCTATTTCACTGCTCTTGCTCTCTTGATTGATCCACCTCGTTGTTCTTGATTGCTGCTTTCTGTCTCATTAGGAGAGAGGCATTGGTGGTGAGGATCGGTTAAGAACCATGGTGGGATGGCATGCTGGTAGATGGAGCCACGATTGCATTTGTTGGGGGAGTTCTCGATGGCAGGGGCACAGCCGAATATGGCCATGGAGGACCAGCACAGGTCCTCGCCTCCAACGGCCGTCACGTTATGATTAGATGTGTTGGAAGGGATGGAGATGATGGCCTCCGTCGAAGTGAGCATGTGGCGGCCGAGATAGCCGAGGAGGAGAAGCCTTTGCTGCTCAACGCCCTCAGCCGCCTCCACCTCTCGAGCTTCTTCGCCCCACCGCTATTGTCCTCTTCACGCGCCGGTGGAGGTGGAGGAGAAGCCACGCGCCCGTCAAGGAGGCGCGCACCGGATAGATGCCGAGGAGGAGCCACCTCCGCCACTCGCCACTCGAGCTCCTTTGCCCCGATGATAACGGTCCCTAGCCTTGCTGGTTGACAGACGTGGAGGGACAAGAAAGAGAGTGGGGTGAGGGGTGAGGGGTGAGGGAGAGATATGACATGTGGGTCCCACCAATTTTTTTTTTAAGAAAATATTAACTGGACTGTCACGTAGGACCAAAACCACTTCGGGTTGAGTCAGCAGGTAATTTGTCTAATATTAATAATAGTTGAAGATGAAATATGTCTAACTTTCAGGTTTATGGGGGTAATTCAGTCGACCATAATAGTTCAAGGTGTAATTCATCATTTTTTTCCTTTAAAATAATATCATAACATTATTTATTATATGTTGACCTCATGTGACTAGATCACAAATTAGATATATAATTTTAAAATAATTTAAAGATAGGACAACTTATTTTTTATTGTAGAAGATTTAGTTTAACTATGTATATTTGCGCAAGTTTTTAGAGTATTTTATTTTATTTTATTTTTAAATAGTAGAAAATCACCATCGATTTTTTTCAATGGCACTACGTACATATGTTACATAAGGTTTTTTTTACTTTATCGGTTTTTATTGCAAGTACGTAGGCAGGTTTTCTTTTCTTCTGTGAACAGTAGGTATGTTTTGTTGATTCTTTTCCAGTTATGTAAGTACGTACACAAAGTACTTGTGTTTGATTTCTTTTTTTCTGGCCCACAGTATACATAAGAAAATTATTACTTTTTAAAAATAATACATCTAATCTAATGATAAAAATATTGGATCCACCAATTTAAGTGAAAATTGATGGTGGGATTAAACAGTGCCATGTTGTGGCAAAAATCGATGGTGGGATTAAACAATGCCATGTTGGGGCCAAGGAGTATTTGTAGGAACTCCACCTGCCGGCTTAAGAGCGATTCTAGAAAGTTTAATGAATTTTTAGTATATAATAGATAGATAGATAGAAAACTATGTAATTCCGCACAAACATGTACCCGTGCACTTCGAGAAAAAACGTGTACCAGTGAACTCATTTTTTCGTTCGCAAGAAAAAAATTGAGTAATATGCTTGGTTTGGTTACCGTATATATATGCTACTTGATTCATTAGCACCCAGATTAACTACACAAATTACGTACATCCGTCGAACGGTAGATCGTTTTGTACAGTATACAAGAAGTTATTATTTTTTAATAATAGATCCAATCTCATAGTGTAAAATGACGGGTCCACCAATTTAAGTGAAAATCAACAGTGAGATTAGACCGTGCCATGTGGCGGTATAAGAACGTTTGTAGGAGTGTCACGTGGCGGCTTGAGGGTGTTTGTAGAAAATTTAATGGACTTTTAGTATATAATAGATAGATACTTGACCTTTTAACTTTTGTAATAGTCTTCCTTGCAAGTTTTACTATAATTGCATTTTATGATAAACTAGGATTTTAGATGTTTTGTTTATGATTTACACAAACCACCCACGTCACCTCCGCCCACCACTGCGTCGTCACCGCCTGCCACCTCCGCCCGCCGCCTCCCCTCCCGCCGGATCCGGCGGAGGGGAGGGCACCGCCACCGCCCGCCGCTCCCGGTGGGGAGGAGGAGAACGGATGGTGGAAGAGGAGGAATGGGAGGAGAAGGAGAAAGGGAGAAGGATAACAGACGTGAGGATGAGAAAAGGAAGAAGCGAAGGAAATGATAAGTGTTATAAGTTTCTTTAATCCCGGTTTCTATTTGAACTAGGATAAATGTGATTTTTACCATCCGTGTAAATATGAGTTTTCCAGTAACGACTATACCTTCAAATTGTCAAATATTTATGACTAGGGACTTTATAGTGGCTAGATCGAGTCTTAAAGCATAGTATATATTTTCCATCCTTCGAGAGGAATATATCTCGTAAAAATTAAACTGATTAAGATAAACTGGTTAGACAAGTTGATAATTGGTAGTGACGAGGCTTTTCTCATTGGTACATAACTCGTCATCTGCTAACAGTGTTGCACGCACAGGGAAGAGAAAAACCAGCACTGATGACCACACATCAGTGACGGTTTTATTTTAAAAACCAATATACTAAATTATCTGTTGATGCTGAGTTTTGAGAGAACTGGAAATAAACCGAGCCAAACTTAGGCTGAGCCAAGCCGCCGGATGGAAAAATGATCTTCTTTGAGTAAATTCCACAGCAATATACGAATTTATCAAATGCTCGTTTTGATGCATAAACTTATCCGGTGCGTGCAGTCTAAGGCCAAAAGGATACTACATGGTTAATCTTGTTAATTTAGATGCTAATTAGAATACCACGTAGACATCTATCTAAGAAGAATGTTGCTACTAAAACAAGGATTTTTCAAGTTTATATATTAAATTATACCCATCTAACAAGTGTGTACTACCAATATAATTTACTCTAAATCTTTTATGTGTCAACGTATCACTCTCTCCATCTCTTACTATCCTTGTATCGTTCTCGCACTAATGGGCCTTTCCTACCGACACTGATGGGGATTCTTGTAGTAGTATCTGCCTATCTGGTCATTGTGTGTTATGGAGAGGTATATATACCTCGTAGTGTTGAAGTTAGTTAGGAGGTAAAAACTGAAGATAAGCCAAATTTATATGAGTTTCCAAATTCCAATCCTATTTCAACATATAAGATTAATTATGGTTCCTTCATTCATAGAAAGGTATATTAAGTACGGATAGGTATTAGCTAGAGCCAAATGAAGGGCATACTGTTGTGTCCGGTAATCAGTGATGATGACAGAGAGCGAGACTATGGATCACAACGCGAACAGGCACTGAATCGTGGTAGATATTGAAGCGTTGTGTCGCAAACCCTGAGACCAAAATCACCCAATCCCCATATTATGTGTGTTAAGCACGCGTACTTTTTCGCGCCACAGTTATCATTGGGCCACACATTTATGAGAGGAAAAAGTACACCGAAGGTCCCTCAACTTGTCATCGAATTACAAAATTGTCCTCCAACCACAAAACCAGATACAACGTATCTCCCAACTTATAAAACCGTGCAAACTAGGTCCCTCGGCGGTTTTGAGCCTGGTTTTGTCCGACGTGGCGGCTGACTCAGCGTGAGACCCACATGTAAGGATGCCACGTCAGCACCCTCTCTCTTCCTTTTCCTCTCCCTCCCTTCTCTCTCTCTCGCTTGTCTCCTCTGCAAGTAGCAAGCCGGCCGGCGGGCGTGGAGAGGTCGCCCGGGGCGAGGCGGGAGAGGAAGCGGCGGTGGGCGACACGGCGGCGACGGCGGAGGCTACGACGCCGGAGGGGAGGCCACCGCGGCGGCGACGGCTGAGGCTGCGACGCTGGAGGGGAGGCCGCCGCGCCGAGGTTGGATTCTCCCTTCCGCCGCGCCGACAGGAGGAGCCGGCGGCCGGCGATGCAGGGGCGGCGGTAGTGGCGAGACGGGAGAAGGAGAGGGCATCGGCGGCGGGAGCACTGCATGGGGAGAGCGAGGACGATGGGGCACCTCGGCGTCGAGACCCTCCTCTCCATCCCCGGGCGCCGCGACGGCGGAGGCTGCGACACTGAAGGGGAGGCCGCCGCGCCGAGGTTGGATTCTCCCTTCCGCCGCACCGAGAGGAGGAGTCGGCGGCCGGCGACGCAGGGGCGGCAGTAGCGGCGAGGCGGGAGAAGGAGAGGGCGTCGGCGGCGGGAGCACTGCGAGGGGAGAACGAGGACGATGGGGCACCTCCTCCCCTCCATCCCCGGGCGCGCGTGCTCGGCGGCGAGTGGAGTGGGCGACCGCGAGGCGGAGCGGCGGTGGGTGGAGTTGGGTGACGACGAGGCGGAGCGGCGGCGCGCGAAGTCGGCGGCACGGAGCGCGGCAGTGGCGGGCAGAGCCGGCAGCCGGAGTGGGGCGATTGCCGGTGGAGCGGCGACAATCCGCCGCCGACGCCGATCTCAACAGCTTCGGCGCCCCAAATCCCTTCGTCGTCATCATCGTGCCTCCTCCACCGAGCTCCACTCCCGCCGCCGTCGCCGCTCCCACTTCCCTATCTGCTTCCCACAGCCGCGGCTGTCAACGCTGCTGAAGACGACGACGACGGGTTCAATGAGGAGGACGCGCACCACCTCTTCCCTCGTCTGCTCCCCAGCCGCCCACGCGCCGCTTCTCCGCCGCCATGCTGCCACCGCCGCCGCCTGCCGCCGTCACGGCGCCGCCCTCCTCGCGGCATCAGATGAGGAGAGGACGAGAGAGAGACAGATGAGTAAAGGATAGAGATTGACGTGGCATCCTACATGTGGGGTCCACGTGGGTCCCACGCTGACTCAGCCGCCATGTAGGATAAAACCGGGGCTAAAACCACCGAAGGACCTATTGTGATCGGTTTTGATTACTTGAGGGACGCCGGATATCTGGTTTTGTAGTTGGGGGACATTTTGTAACTCGATGACAAGTTGAGGGACCTTCAGTGTACTTTTTCCTTTATGAGATTGCTCTCGAGCTGTTGATGAGCGTTTGGGCCTACCAACCATTTTCTCGGCCGTGCAAGTTTGTTTCCACGAGCGAGATGTACGTGATCTAACGGGTACACCAAGTTGGGCTTATGGGCTGTCTTATAGTGAAGGCCTAATTGTAAGCACTAAAATTTGATTTGGACCTTAGTGTCTGTGCGCTTCCCTCAGCCCATTGGGTTTCACCCGTAGAGGTGTGTGTATATATATATATATGCGCTTTAAGGATTGAAGAATAAAAAGCTCCTCCTTTTTTAAAAAAAAAACTTTCTTAGTCAGATCACAGCATTGACTGATATATATCCAAGAATAAAGAGCATAATTAAACCTCAAACAGAATATACAAAAAAAAAAAAAGTATATAAGCACAAACGAAGTTCATAGCACAGCAAGACGATCGATTAATTGCAGCGGCTTTTATCTCCTCGCGGCTTGAGGCCAGCTGCAAATTACGTGTTCATTCCGCGGAAAAGCTAGCTAGCTAGCTCTACCTAGTCAGCTACCTCCTCTATCTAAAAAAATGTCTAATCTAACTATAAACCTAGACACACATGTGTACAGGTTCATAGTACTTTTTTTTTTCTTTTACAGACTAGTACGTTCCAAGTTCCAACAACAGCACAACAAAACTCCATCTTATAAAGAACAAGAGCACAAGAAAGCTAGGAGCTAGCTAGCGTATGAAAGAAGCACAGTCATCTTAAGAACAAGCAACCTAAACAGAACAAGTGCACACATCAGCTTTAACACATGAACAATTAAACGTTTCGGCGAGCGATCATGCGATGAATGGATCGAACAGTAGACTACTCGTCAGCTCGATCTTTTTGCCGTTTGCTTCTGAATCGGATCTGTCACGAGCTATGGCTGATAAGTTAAGCTTAATTCTCTCTGGAAGCACAAGCAAAGCGTCCCGGTTTGTTTCGCTCGATGCCAATGAATCTTGACGTGTCATCTGTATCTCTCTCCCTTCCACATCAGCAGAAATTAACTTTCGCTAGCTCTTCGGTCGCCTTAGCTTGTCAGCTTTGCTGCATTTCTCTTTTTGTTTTGTTCTTTTTGCAAATGTTTGTTGCAGAAATTTTGGCTTCGACTGCTCTCCCCTTCAGGTTAAATAATCGGCAGATCGGCGACTAATTAATTAAGCAGCTCTGCTCACCTTTAGCTTCGAGTAGGAGTGAAGTGTTAATTTATTCCTCGCAGCTAGCTTAGCTCTTTTGGACTAGGAGATCTAGCAGCGAGCTGAGCTGACTACTTAAGCAGGTATATTCATATATGTTGGCTTAATTATCTCTGCTCATTTTAGTTATTATCCTGTATTCATGTATATGTTCAGGTGTGACGAGATCTGAAATTCTGAATGTGTATTAGTTTCTGTTCTCTGCCCAATCTTTTCTGCTTATATGTGAGACTGACCACTAATTTAAATTATCTGGTGTTAAGTAAAGCACAATCATCAGCTACCTGCAATATATGTTGTTTGCTAATTTTTAGTTACATCCAGGTGTCATGTTCATACCTCGCCGGCCGTAAGAAACTCCTGATAAGGGTTAAAACTGAAAATTTTAAGCATTTGAAAGTGGAACCATCCTGTCCTGGCCCTCCTCTCCAAATTGGTTTTCAAATAGAACAAATAATTGGATGGAGGATTTATTCCCCCACTCAGCTGTAAAAAATTCGAGGACATATATAAAAAAAATATATTTTTTCATATAGGAGCATGAGTAGTCCATACAGTATGATGTAGTTTCCTTCAGAAAACAACCTAACATCTCTATATATCATGTTGTTTACAGGGTACCTGAGTAACCATTGAAAAATATCATTTTTCCTCACCCTCTATAGAAATATTTCTTGGCATTTTCAATTAATTTTTGTTTGAGTAAATTCTATATAGCTGTAGGGATCTTCTGTGATCCCAGATGGCTTTATTTTTCTTTTACATTATATTGGACAGAGCAATGTTCTGACGACCCATTTTTTTCTGCCGGCTGAAACATGGAGAAAATCAATAATAAGATTCTAAGAAAATATGTATTGAATTGCAATGTTTCATTTTCATTATTTTTGTTTCTTGATTGTATAAAAAGCAGGATTGTTTGAAATATTCCCTTGCTTAATTTTTCTCCTTATCATTTTTTTAGCAAGTTCTGGTCATTTGTGCTAAAAGGTTGCTAAACAATATAATATGGAGTTTCCGGAGATTACGATCGTCGATGAAACAGTAAGAACTTCTTTACTATGTTTACCACTTTATACTATGTTCAGACATAAATATTGTAGCAAACTTATAATTTTATAATCTTACTTGTATTTTCTAAAATTTAATAATATGAAAACTAAGGCTAGCAGATCAAACATTTCCTTACTGATCTTTTCTTTTTTATATATATATTCGTATTGAAGGTTCCCGACACCGTGGGATCTGCAGAGATCATGGCATTTGAGATCAGAGTAAGAGCGTATATCTGTTTTTTTTTACCCCTTAATAGTTTAAAATAGAAGTAAATGTACTTTCCAGCATTTGAATGATTGGAACCTTAACTAACTATTTACCTTTCATACCTTCAGTATCATCTGTGTTTCTATTGTGTCAAAAGTTGGAACAATCAAATAGTAGAGGTTCTCTCCCATCCGTGGAGAGGTTTAAACCCATTGCTCAAGAGAGACAAATACTTTAAACTAGTTGAGATGTTTAGAACAAAAGTACACGATTGGTAATAACAATGACTTTTCTGCTTTATTTGATCTATATAGAGGCATATACTTTATAATATTAGGTAGAAAGTATATATGCCTCATACATTTTAAGATATCACCTATGTGAGAACAGAAGGAGCATATATCACGATGAAGATAAATTGTAACATGATCCAAGTGAAGTAGCACCCCGTATAGGAATCACTACGGAAAGCACTAAAGAGGGCAAAGATGAAGATGGTGCCCATCCATATGCTGATGTTGTTGGTGGCCACGGCGTTCTCTTGGTGGGGCACCCGCCGGAAGAACATCACCAGGTCCATGGCAACGCTGAAGAAGGCGAACTAAATGTATATACCTAGCAAAGTTTAAAAATAAAATAAAAAACATTTATAAATATGATTTGTGAAATTATGCAATTAGTTTGATATCTCCGGTATGGCGAGGTATTTCTAAAATGGTAAGAAGGCATATACCTCTTCAAGAAGAGGACAAAACCTAAAAACATCATATTCTTTTTATATTATACTCCCTCCTTCCTTAAATGTTTGACGCCGTTGGCTTTTTTAAATATGTTTGACCGTTCGTCTTATTCAAAAACTTTTATGAAATATATAAAACTATATATATACATAAAAGTATATTTAACAATAAATCAAATGATAGGAAAAGAATTAATAATTACTTAAATTTTTTGAATAAGACAAACGGTCAAACATATTTTAAAAAGTCAACGGCGTCAAACATTTTGGAATGGAGGAAGTACCAATTAAGTACCTCCCCAAGATGATGTCCTTTAGATTGCTACTTGTTACGTTGAATATTATAATTGAATATGATAGGTAACACTTCAGAATCATTTGTTCTGTTTGTACTTATTATTTGTCGGCGAATTAATCAAACCAAGAATAAAAACTCTAAAATTTTTAGTCTATCCTTATTACTTTCTAGTAGAGTGGTAAGTGAGTTGTGACACCTTTTTCCTCAACTACTTTTTTTTAAAAGCCAATGGAAGATGTTGAATCTGTGGGATCATGCTCTCCATGCAATTCCATGATATACAATGAGTCATTTGTGCACACTGAAGATCAGACCCAACATTTCCAGGGAAGCCCAGAACTGAAGACTTCAAGAGGAAAGATGACAATGGCACTACTTCTTGGTAAAAATTTAATCCCCACAATCTCATCCCAACTCTCTCTTTTTTTTCGTGGTTAATAGTGTTTGATTTACTAATAGTCCAGTATTTATACCAATATAATGTGGAGAACAATCTATCATTTTATACAATACTAGTCATAGGACCGTGCCTTGCAAACGGATGTGATATGGTGAATGTGGTTTAATTTTTTTTTCTCTTCTCCCATATTTTTCTCTCAATTGGTTAGTTTTTTCTAGTGTTTCTTATGGATAGAATGGGAATAAGGATGACTGTGCTTTTAAGATATATAGTAGAGATAAACTAACCAGTGTTGAACAACACTGCAATGCAAAATGGGGGCATATATAGTGGTTTGATCCAAAAGAAATTAAAATATTTATTTTACCTCAGTGATTAAGCAGCTCTACTTGACGATGCAGTGAGCTATGTGTTGGCCAACTTTGCATTTTTTGGCGTCGCCGTGGGCCTGGTGGTGTTCCTCAGGCAGGTGCTCCACCAGGAGAACGCCGAGGCCGCCAATAGCGTCAGCATGTGGATGGGCACCGTCTACATCTTCTCCCTCTTCTGTGCTTTCCTGAGTGACTCCTATATGGGGCGCTACATCACTTGCATCATGTTCCAATTCATCTTCATCGTGGTATGTAATCCTTCTCTTGTCAAACAGGTGATATCCTGAAAAATATGCAGTCAGATATCAGGATAAACTCAGCAGTAGTATAAAATATAACAACATAAATACTGTGTCAACATTTTAAACAATCTTAATTATGTAAAAAACAGAGCATATGTGCAATTTTGATTTCAGACGACTGAAAATAGCAAAACTGAATTATAAGTTTAAAGTTATTATAAGGTTAAGAGTGTCAGCAGTTGATGCATGAGACAAGTTTAATTTCTTGTGTGTTTTGGCATGCAGGGGTTGATGCTCCTGTCGCTGTTGTCGTGGTTCTTGCTGGTGGAGCCGCCGGGGTGCGGCGACGGCGGCGGGCTCAGGCAGTGCGCGGCGCCGTCCCGGCGTGGCGTCGCGGTGTTCTACCTGTCCATCTACATGGCGGCGTTCGGGAACGGCGGGTACCAGCCGTCGGTGGCGACGTTCGGCGCCGACCAGTTCGACGACGCCGACCCCGGCGAGCGGCGGCGCAAGCAGGCCTTCTTCTGCCTCTTCTACCTCTCGCTCAACGTCGGCTCCCTCTTCTACAACTCCGTCCTGGTGTTCTTCGAGGACAGGGGCCGGTGGGTCGCCGGCTTCTGGGTCTCCACCGCCGCCGCCGCGCTCGCGCTCGCGCTCTTTCTCCTCGGCACGCCGCGCTACCGCCGGGTCCGACCTGCCGGCAACCCGCTCACCCGCATCGCCCAGGTGTTCGTCGCCGCGTACCGCAAGCGGCACATCGTGCCGCCGCCCGGCGACCACCTCCACGAGGTCGATGGCGAGGGCTCGGCGATCCGTGGCGTCGGCAAGCTCGCCCACAGCGACCAGCTCAGGTTTCTTGACAAGGCGGCGACGGCGACCGAGGAGGACTACCACGACGGGAACGCCAAGAACCCGTGGAGACTGTGCACGGTGACGCAGGTGGAGGAGGCCAAGTGCGTGGTGAGCATGGTGCCCATCTGGATCTGCAGCATCGTCTACTCCGTGGAGTTCACCCAGATGTCGTCCTTGTTCGTGGAGCAAGGCGCGGCCATGGACACCGACATCCTGGGCCTGTTCAACGCGCCGGCCGCGTCCATGTCGGTGTTCGACGTCGCCGGCGTGCTCGCCACGCTCGCCTTCTCCCACTACGTCCTGGTGCCCGCGGCGGCGAGGCTGACCAAGAACCCGCGCGGCGTCGGCGAGCTCAAGCGCATGGGCGCGGGCCTCGTGATCGCGCTGCTCGGCATGGTCGCCGCGGCGGTCGTCGAGGTCCACCGCCGCCGCCGATCCGGCGCCGGCGGCCGCGCCATGAGCGTGCTGTGGCAGGCGCCGCAGTACGCGGTGATGGGCGCGTCGGAGGTGTTCGTGTACGTGGGGCAGCTGGAGTTCTTCAACGTGCAGTCGCCGGAGGGGGTGAAGAGCCTGGGGAGCTCGCTGTGCATGGCGTCCATCTCGCTGGGGAACTACGCCAGCATGGTGATGGTGAGCGCCATCAGCGGCGTCGCCTCGCGGCGGCGGACCGGCGGAGGGACGGCGGGGTGGATCCTGGCCGAGCTCGACCGCGGCCACCTCGACCGCTCCTTCATCACCCTCGCCGTGCTGTCCGCCGTGGACCTCGTCGTGTTCATCGTGTTCGCGCGGTTGTTCAAGGGCATCGAGCCGGAGGTGGAGGGGATCAGCTCCAGTCCACAGGATGACCACATATATATAGTCTAGCTAGATACATCTTTTATATATATATATATATATATATAATTATCATGAAATGGCTGTTAAATTCAGTTGTTTGCATTGGTGCTGTTCGACAGACGTTTGTACTCCGCCTTTATTTAAGAACGTGCACCAAACATGTTTTTTCTTTTAATGTGATGTTCGATTGATCCTCAAGAAGTGAGATTGGAGGGGATTTATTACACACCTTTAGTGGTGCGGAATCCCTCAATCCTCTCCAAACCGAACAAGCAATCTCCTGGCATGTATAACCAGGCATGTTTCTGTTTAGGCTGAAGTTTTGGTGTAAAACAGTTTAGAGTAATAATTTGAGCCTGGTTGGACAAGAGGTATTTGTCATCATAATATATTTTACGTCTCTTTAAAGAAAATCTATGCTACCAATTTGTTTTATATTTTTTAACCTATTTAAGAAGCGCGTGGATAAAATGGGTGTGTACGCAGCTAGGTGAAAACAAATTGTCCCTGGTTGAACCGTTAGAAAATTCTATGGTACTATATTTACCTGGTATATCTTATAGAAGACACCTGGTATATCTTATAAAAGACAGGCTAGATATTAAAATCTCGTTACTGACCATTTTTTTTCTAAAGCAATGGTACCTCGTGAAATGGCATTATTTAAAAAGAAAAAACAATGGGATCTAGCATATAGTGCATGGGACGGTGAACAATTTGCTTGATTCCTATCTCCCCTAGATAGATCAATCCTTGAAAGGAGAAACGAAGAACGAAGAGGAACTTATATGCATGCTGAAAAATCACCGTAGTAACGAAACAAAGACCAAGCAATCATTCTAGAAAGATTTGGACATGAATGCAGTTGAATGTACATGTGACTTTTGAGGTTAAAAAAGACATAAAAAGTGAGAAAGATACCCAAAGGTCTGCAAAAACTTGAAAGAATTTTACTTAATAATTTGTGACTTGTTTATGCGTGCTAAATGATCTCGTCATCTGAAGTAATATATAGAAACTATAAAAAGGTAAATAAATAGGTAATACTTTAGGATCTCACCATAGTATGTAGTCAGCGAAACATACAAGCTTTTAGTGCATATCTACGCAGCGGAGTATCCAAAAATTTCTCAGAACCATGGCAGGCTTCACTAGTATGAGTAGCAGCTAGCATCGTTGGGCACCAACAGCAGAATGAGTCCGCCCTAGCCAGCTCTCATTGTGCACCAGGCAACCTGGCTGGGCAACCTGGCTGGGCAACGAGAGCTATGCTAGTTGTTCTATATAAGATAGAAATATGTAGAATAAGATTGGTGGTGTCGCAATGAGAGGCGTCGCTTTATATAGCGGTGTAGGTAAGGACCACTTCCAAGAACATGTTATTACCCATGTACCTTATGCGTGCACACAAGATAAGGTTAATGGAAATACGTGGAAATACGTGGAAAGGGAATGCGTGCACACTAGATAAGCTTATAAGTACGTGGAAAGGGAACAACTTTTATAGAACCGGTGTTGTCGCTACTCGAACGGTTTTACATATGGCAAAGCATTTATGGTATTATTACAAAAGTGAGATGGTAGAAATTTTCTTTATAGAAAGTGTTGCCCTTTAATGTCGTTTGATATAGGTACGAATAAAACATTAAAGGTTTCATCATGAAAGCAAATTAAAGGGACTCCTTTCTTGTGATTGTCGTTAACTGAATCTGTTGCGAGTAAAATAAAAGTTCTTATGTTATTAGTATGGAGAGGATGGAATAAAGGCACATTCTAAACAATGTGAGAGCCCCCGGTTTTGAACACTAGAAACCTTATGTGTTCACAATACCATTTCATGGATTTGTAGATGGTACACACATGATAAAATTGCATATCACATAGCTAACATCATTATAAAGGTCAAATAATACATTAATAATACAAGGATTGCATGAGTGGGACCAAAATAAACTAAGCATGGTACAATACCAAATACTGAAAGATCTAGACAAAGTAGCGGAAGTGAAGCTACGACGGTCCATCTTATTTCAAAGGTAGCTACTGGAAAACCTAGCTAGGTCCTACATTGTTTTCTCCGTCTCATCATTGGCGTAGCATTCATAAGGTCATCTCCGAGACATCCTTCTAAAAGAGTTAATTAAGCACGTGTGAGTACCAACTGTACTTAGCAAGCTAGTACTACATAATACATTAGTGCACACAGGGTTCAACCCTTCAAGGATGGCTAGGTTTATTCGCATAAAATTAGATTTCACAAATCATTTCACAAAGCTATGAATTTGACACTTATAACTGAAAACAACGTTAAGTTGAAGTAGTAGTTAATCAATGAGGGTTCATCTACCTCCCCAAGCCCCGCTTGGTTCGGTTTACCCTTACATCCAATTTTTCACATTTTCACCGCACATCGGGAAGGGTCACACATTCTCTCCAATCCTATTCTAAGCAGTTTTAAAATTTATGAGGCTAGTCAAGAGAATGGCTATTTGAATGGATTTATTTTACTCACACCGTAGTGGATGCATGCTTTTAATCCCGCATTCCGTGATGCACCCAACACATAAGACTTGTCATGACCTGGTTTTTTGGTTCCCCTTGCATTGCATTCCCCAATGACTATAACCCTCATGCACCCCAAGCGAGCCACCCTACCTCGAGGAGCTAGCAGTGAGAGGAGTACTAGCCTTTTCAAAGTATCTAGGCGGTTACATTATATATAGAATTAAGGGGCATTTTATGTTTCGACATCATTAATCACCACAAACATTTCAATACAATATCACAAGAATTCGGGTGCAGAACCAATCATGTCTGGGATACCGCCCCACTTGGATTACCTAATTTACCGTATCTATACCCATTCGAGAAATACAGTCGTACTCTGTTTCTTTCCTGCTTCTTGACTTGGTCCTTAACTGACCAAGGTCAATGGCTTGCCATTTCATAGAATCACCCATATTCTATCCGTGTCGCCCCAGTCGAAATTATTTTGTTTTGTTAATTTTTTTGGTTTTCACAAAGGTTTTGAGTTGCGGATGGCGCTCATGTCTCCACCCGCTTTCCAATAATCACTCCCATCAAGTGATCACCACCATCACATCCATAACACAAGCAGGGGTGTACAAACTTCTAAGCAGGCAATGGTAAGGAGTGTCAATACTTGACCACACATTATAATAGACTCAGGCAACAAGGAATACTGGCAAAAATTTCAAAGATGGTTTTAGCATACAATTTTATTTGCAATCAACACATTTATCAAAATAGTATCAACATGCTAAAACTGGGGAGCGTAGTGACTTGTCCTGCTCAGTGAGGTGTTTGACATGGGGTAGCGAGGTATGAGTGCGGAGGGCAGAGGAAAAGGGAAAAATATAGGAAGAATGCACTGGGCAGCTCGGGTTTTTTAGGCGGCGACGATTGTCCTCGCTGGCTTGGAGGAGAAGGCGAGGCCGTGGCACTTGATGTGAGCCCGGAGCATGCGGATCGCATGGACATGCGTCTCCAGGTGGCTGGGCGCTCGCCCTTAGCGCACTGGACCGGGTCCAATGGCGGCACGACATGGATGTCGGGGCAAAAAAGGCGGGGCCACAAGCGATGTGGTGATTCGTGGTAGTTTGGGTGGTGTCGGACGATCGTTGTGTGGCGTTGCTCAGAAGGATGGATGACGCAGATGGTTGGTGGGTAGCGCGTCCACTTGACGCGTGAAAATCCGGCGAGGACGGTAGATGCAACGTCCGTCTCTTGTTGCGGCGCGGCATGATAGGGAGCGGCACCTCGGGTCTGTGCAGTGCGCATGACAAGCGGGAGCAGTGCACAGGAAGGCGATGCACGAGACATTTCCGTCCATGCCATGGATATCACGTTACGGCATCACCTAGCACAGGCACCATGCACGGCACGACGCATTGGAGGAGCAAAGGATGGACATGGTGACGTCTCGAATAGGGTTCGAGGAGCGGCTTGACGTTTTTCATCGGCGACAAGGCGCGGTGGGTTGGGCGGACTGCGACAACAAGCTTGTTGGCGATAGGGAGTGCCTTGGACTCCGTTGGATGGCGGCGACCAGCTTCACATGCGGGGAAAAAGGGGATCAAGCCCCAGGGTCGGCGAGTCGGCTCGGTATCTGTCTAGGCAGTCCACCTAGGATGGGGAGGGAAGGCAGGCTGGGTCGGGCTAGCCCGGCTGGTGTGGGGCGGGGGAGGTGGGGAAAGAGGAAAAGAGAAGTTGAGGGACTCGTGTTGTCACGACCGGAAATAACCCAACAGGTTTTCCTTACGTGCGTGCATTATTCCTCGTCCCAGGAGATGAGGTACACAAAAGTTGATACATATCAGAGTTTAACAAGCAGAAGCGTAAATAGTATTTTTATTACATGGGCAACCAAAGAACCAACACTCAGAGATAAACGAAGAAGCACGGAAGACTAGGGTGAACACCATAGGCACTTGACGGCAGGCACGAGCTAGACACCGAAGCCATCCTCTTCCAAGAACTCCTTTTCTGGGTTGGAGAAAAAATTGAGCAAGATCACCGTACTCAACAAGTCACACCAACAAATGCACAGTAAATGTAAGGGGAACAAAGATAGACTAATAAGGGATTAGGTTTTGCAGTAAAACAACATTTTAAACCACTTATTAGTTGCTCAAAGCCATTTGGTAAATTCAAACTAGGTCTACACGGTATTATAATTATCCGCGGCCGTGAACCCACACGAACCTATCTTAACCCAAGGCCTACGAAGAGTCGGACTAAACTGGCAGCCTTAAAGCGGGCCCCAGCTCGTCCAAGCCAACCCAAGCTAACCATTCCAGGTTTTAGTTGATTGACATTTTTTTTAGAGTGAAACCACTAACTTGGGTATATTGCCCATAACCGAGGGTGCGGCTATTCGAATAGATTATACTCTGATCAGATGTGTACATCTTTACCCACAAGACACATCTTCCTTACGTGTCTCCACACACCACATACCAGCACGATATATGGACAGAGGGTTTGACATAGTTCTTCACTCATCCTAGCCCTGAACAAAAGTACCGACTCAACGCCCGCCTACGGCTGGGGTTATAGGGACAAACAGGTTATGGTTGAGCCCTATGGCATCAGAAGATCTCTCAGGAGTGATCACCCTAATGCCTGTCCTGAGCCACGACATCTCGACTACCGGACACCCGCTCGTGTAGCCTTCATTTGCCTCGAAGATATCTATTACCCGACATCATTCTTCTCTATATTTGTCCTTTGTAAACAATATATATTTGTGAGGGAGTCATAACTTGTAATATTATGGACACTAGACACATGTACATATGCTATGTAATTATATATATCGATTTTTCTAATAGTGCTCGTATAATTTATATGTGACTGCTAGAGAGAGTAATATTATGCATATGACGATTCAAAAGCACAACGAGTGACCAACGGTTACATAGCACAAGAAGCATAACGAGCACAACAAGCGCGTAATATTATGCATATGACGATTCAAAAGCACACAAAAAGATAGAGCGCGTATCTTTCCAAACGGCTAGCATGTGATCCCGTGCGGTCGGCCTAGCACATACTTACCAAGATTATAGATTATCTCGTGCAGTCGACATATCCAAACCGTTATCCCGTGTGGTCCTCTCGATTATCCCATACGGTCCACGTAACCCGACCGCACGAGATAATAGATTATCCCGTGCGGTTGGGCCACCCGCACGAGAAAATATTAATTTTCGCAGATAGGTAAAGTGCCGACGGGCGGAACCTCCGTACCGAAAAAAATCCATTTTAACCGCACGAAAAAATCGAATCTTTAGTAGTAGTTGATTTGTAAGATTCTTCCATAAGTTATCTTTAGTAGTGGTTGATTTGTAAAATTCTTTCATAAGTTTTGTTTATAATTATGACTAGTGGATAATGAGGTGTACGGATTATTTTTGAGGGATAGTGCCTGTCTGTCTTATTTTTATTGGGGCACAATATAGATGATTATAAGGCCTGCCCGGCCCGGCACGACTATATATGACCATAAGGCCTGCCCGGCACGGCACGGTCACCACTTCGTGCTGGGCCGTGCCAGCCCATGAGCTGGTCTCCACTTCGTGCCGGGCCGTGCCAGCCCATGAGCTAGACCAGCGACCACCAGCCCAGACACGATCCACCAGCGATCGAGCCATGCCGTGCCGGCCTGAAAGCACGGATAGCTCATCGTGCGTTCTTTGAAATAAGTCTATTTCCCCACCCACCCACCCACCCACTTTTGCTTCCTCATGCCTTACGTATGGTTGAAATTAAGTCTGTTATGCATACCCATACTCTCGTACCGGGCCTGGCCAGGCCGGGCCGGCCCAGCGTGCTAGTAGGAAAGCCCAGAAACGGCCCGGCGGTCGGGCTAGGCCTGGACGGACCCAACCACCAGTCGGGCCGTGCCGTGCCTGGAACGGACCAAAATGCCGTGCCTTGGCCGGGCCATCAGGCCTCGAGCGGCCATCTATAGGGCACATGATGAAGTTTACAAGTGATACTGAATAAGAGTATACCCGTCATCAATATGCACATTGCAAGCGATCGACGTGAGTTCATACATACTAGTGATTACTGGTACAAAGCTAGCGCGCGGCGTCATGCGGGTAGCTAGTGCGTGCAGCTAGTTCAAGCCGGTCATGAGCGCGCGCGGCCGCCAGCCACTATGGCACGCACGCACGCACGCGTGCCTCGCTAGCTAGTAGCTTAGCTACCCCGTGGCGGTGGTAAAGGTGTGCTTGCCGGACTTCTCGTCAGCGTGGCCCTCCTTCTCGACGCGCTCGTCGGACTCCGCCTCCAGCTTCCTGTCCTCCTTCCGCTCCTCCGCCTCCCGCTTCTTCATCGGGTCCCCCGTCGTCGCCTTCTCCACCTGCAATTTGGCCGGTCATGATCGATCAGACACCAGCGATGCCAGCGACAAGAAACGAGAATTGAGTACGTACGTACCTTCTCGCCGGCGGTGGCCTTGGCCTTGTGGACGCCGGCCTTGGCGGAGGATGCCGCGTCCTCGGCCTTGGCTTTCATGGTCGCCATCCTCTCCCAAGTCCCAACTAGTCTTTAACACACTCTGCTCTGCAGCTAACTCTGTCTGATCTGCTCGATCGGTGTAAGCTAGCTCTTGCGCTGCCTGCGGCCTCATCGTCGTTTCGATTTATATGCACAAGATAAAGCGGCGAACGATCGATGCGTGCGTGCGTGCGTGTGACACGGACGTGTCGCTTGCTGAGGCCGCCGTGAGCGAAGGCGGGGGAATCTCTGGATGCATCGTGGCACGTCGGCTGTGCAGAGAATGGACGCGTGTTTGTATTTGTCCACGTCAAAAGAGTTGCTAAGCTCGAACAACATTTCCATCGGAATTACTTGCTTGCCGGGCCTCAACAGATGAGTTCGGTAGCTGCCACGTTCACTCACTGCTTGCTTTGAGTGGTTTACGAATACTTAATGTTTATGGTAAAGTTATATGAAAATTTTAAAAATTTTGATCATTAATAATTCCTTAAAACTTAAGTTTGCCTTAAAAGTTACAAGTATTGTATTTTAAGCTTACTATATTTAATTGATTTATTTAAAACAAAAAATTGATTGTGAGATTTTTAAAAGTTTAATCAAATCTTATTCCATATGTTAAATATTTATGATAAAGAGTATTTTTGTTATCGTCGATTATTTGCTTCATGCCTCCCAGCATAGGTTTACTTTTGAAAAAAAGGTTTCTTTTATTGTCACTTGTTTAAACTATTTGTTAAATAAATATTTGTTTAAATTATGCTATGATAAAATCGATAATCTGCGATAATGACTTGATCGACAATTAATCCAGACCAAATAAGGCTTGACTAATCCACGACAATAGCATGATCGACAATTAATTTCATTTTTGAAACAATTTTTGTCGTTCCCCTTAGTTCTCATTCAATTTTGGTAACTATACACTTTCAAATAGAACAAGTGGAAATGTGGCATATAGGGTTTGTTAACTTTGATGAAAAAAACCTTACTGAATTTTGGCATTACCAAAATTTTGGCAATTTAGCATGATTTCTTATATAGTTACCAAAATTTGGCAGCAAACTAAATGTAGCCACTTTTTTGGCAACTTTACCAAAATTTGGTAAGGTTGAAAATGGCATCAAAGTGAATAGGCCCCTAGTTTGGTAACTTTAGAAATTGTTTTCTTAAGATAAACTTTACGTTTTGTTAGCTACCATCGAATATCCATCTTTTGGCATTGAGTTTTAGTAACATGGTACAAACTAGACAAGCTCAAATATACTATAAGTTCATTTTTTTTTCTGGAGAATTAAATACAATTCAATTTCATATAGATATATCTCAAGTGCCACGAGTCTACAACATCATCATTCTGGTCAGGAAAAAGTCCACTTTGACTCCCTTAAATATCGGCCGAATCTAATTCGTACCCCTTAACATGAAAACCGGATAAGATGTCTCCCCGAACTATTGAAACCGGTGCAATTTGACTACCTGGGTGGTTTTGCAAGCGGTTTTGGCTGATGTGACACCTACATGGCGGTGTTGACCCGGTCTTCATACCACATGTCGTCGACATGTCACTTATGTGGAATTAGAGTAAAATCAAAAAACAAAAATTTGTAGGACCAACATGTCATCCACACACACAATTAAAAAAAAGTGGGACCCACTGACATGTGGGCCCCACATGTCATCCTCCCTCTCCTTCCCTTCTTCCTCCTCCCTCCCTCTTTCTCTCCCCCGGTCTCTTTTTTCACCTTGCCCGGAGCGGTGGTGGGGAGCAGCACCGGCGGCAGTGGGGAGCGGTGTTGGTAACAGCGGCAGGGAGCGGCAGCGACCTGGCTGCTCTACCGCTGCCGCCTCGGCTCCGTCGAGTTCTTCCCACAAGACATCGACACCGTGGAGCAGCTGTATGTCTTCTAAGAAGTCGCCATCCAAGAAGCTGACCAAATCGCCAGGGGCACTCGACGGGAATCCGCCGCGCCTCGCACCGACACGGATTCGCCTCGCCTCGCCCCCCCTCCCCCCGGCGCCTCCCCCCGGGCGCCGTCGCCGATCCGCATCGAGACCACACCGCCGTGCCGTCGCTCTGCCTCATGGCTAGGTCACCGCCGCTCCGCTGGAGGCCGGTCCACCGCCACGCATCTGTTGGTATTTCTTAACGACATTGCTAGAAATATAATTCCCATCAATAGCACAGAAATACTCCCGGTATATTATGGTTACAGAGTTCATCCGCAAGCGGACGGATATACCATTGTAGCATTTCACCCGAGAGTATTCCAAGGGTATCGTATTTGTTTAATCCCGTGGGAAGATCATAGTAGACAGAACCGTACTAATAGTTTATATGTTACTTGTAATAATCATAGTCTAAGCAGGGATTAAGATAATCCAAGGGTAGAGTGACACACAAGCAGGGAGCTACTCATTCTCATACTATAATATCTAAGCTAAATGGAAAGAAAAGAGAAAGAATATCTATTCCTATACTTCTAGTATATATATATAGTATAACATTCTAGTTATCTGATATACTAGCTAATACTCTATATCCGATGCCCTTCTGGTACTTCGAGAAGCCACCCCTGACTGCCGAGTTCTTTACGACAGCCCGTCATGCCCATACAACCGGGGCTAAATACGGAGGAGTACCCTCCCCAGGAAATTAACTTAGGACTATATACACGCGCGGAGGAATACCCGTACTGAGCTATCACCAACAGCGGCCCACCTCTCATCCGTAGCATATAACCCCAAATAATGATATCCCGTAATCTAGACACCACGCCTAAACTATATATACTACTCTAATATCATCGTCATGACATAGATTAATTGCATAAGAAAACATTATACCTGTACCGATGCATCTCCTAGATAAGCTAGCAGTATAATCAGTATAACATGAACGTAATGTAAAGTTGGCATTCATATACTCGGAAAGTATTTCAATATCATAAATGTATAAAGAAGAGTATTCTAATAAAAGTACGAAGCTTACAAAAGAGAAGAGAAGAGCTACTAGAGCCATACCTGAATTCTTCCGAAGGCTTCCAGATTCCTGATTTCTAGTCTATTCCTACTCCACTAGCTCGAGAACACTAAACAAAACTTGAGAGAATATGAGAGAGCTTTGCTTGAGGTGTGTGAATGAAGTGAGGATGAGAGCTCCTTTTATAGCCTGATAATGACGGTTGTGACGGTTGGAAAGGTCAGTAATACCCACCAACCGTCTATTGGTATTTCTTAACGACATTACTAGAAATATAATTCCCAGCAATGGCGCAGAAACACTTCTGGTATATTATGGTTACAGAGTTCATCCGCAAGCGCACGGATATACCATTGTAGCATTTCACCCGAGAGTATTCCAAGGGTATCGTATTTATTTTATCCCATGGGAAGATCATGTAGAGAGAACTTAACTAATAATTTATATATTACTTGTGATAATCATATTCTAAGCTGGGGTTAAGATAATCCAAGGGTAGAGTGACACACAAGCATTACTACTCATCCTCGTAATAAATAATCTAAGCTAGGTGGAAAGAAAAGAGAAAGAGAATATGTTTCTATACTTCTAATATACATAGTATACATACATTCTAGTTAACTGATATACTAGCTAATACCATCTATCCGATGTCCTCCTGGTACTTCGAGAAGCCACCCCTGGCTGCCGAGTTCCTTACGACAGCCCGTCATGACCATCCAACCGGGGCTAAATACGGAGGAAAACCCTCCCTAGGAAATTAACTTAGGATTATATATAGGCGCAGAGGAATACCTGTACTGAGCTGTCACCATCAGCGGCCCACCTCTCATCCGCAATATATAACCCTAAATAATGATATCCCGTAATCTAGACACCACATCTAAACTACCAGATACTACTCTAATATCATCGTCATGACATAGAGTAATTGCATAAGCAAACATTATACCCGCACCAAAGCATCTCTCAGATAAGCTAGCCGTATATTCAGTATAACATGAACATAATGTAAAGTTGGCACTCATATACTCGGAAAGTATTTCAATACCAGAAATGTATTTAGAAGAGTATTCTAATAAAAGTACAAAGCTTACAAAAGAGGGAAGGAAAGCTACTAGAGCCATACCCGAACTCTTCCGGAGGCTTCCGGACTCCTGATTCCTATTCTAATTCTATTCCACCAGCTAGATACTACTAAACTAAAATTGAGAGGAAAGAGAGAGTTCTTACTTGGGGTGTGTGAGTGAAGTGAGAAGGTGAAGTCCTTTTATAGGCAGGTATGACGGTTGTAACTGCTGCGAAATGTCTGAAGTACCCCGCAACCGCCATCAGGAGAGGATCTGGAGCGTCCCTGCCAAACCCCACATCCAATGGTGGAGAGGGAGGTTCGGCCGAACCAGGGGCCGGCCCAACCTGGCCCAAAATCGGCAGGTGGCCTCCTCCATTGTTCTTCTCCACAGACTTGTGAATTTTGGCCCAGTTTGTCGTGTCAATTCTGAGTTCTTGGCCCATTCATACATAAGTCTGGTTCTCGACATCGTCCGATTGATTTATCGTTTGTGTTGATGTCGATTCTCCTCCACTTTATTGTCATTCTCTGCAAAAGGTTAGTAAACCTAATACTAGTGGAATATTATTATTCTAACATATTTATGCATTGCAAGCATCACTAGTTCTCTCCTGTTTTGGTAATATTCACGGTCGAAACTGATCGATAACGACCGTCAACACCATCATTGGGGAGTCATCTCAGCCATCTAGGAGAACCCTGGATCGACTGGCGCCGCGGGAGGGTTCGGCCGAACCCAATGGTTTGACCGAACCATGGGCCGGGCCGACCTAGCCCAAAATCAGCAAGTGGCCTCCTCCTTTGCTCTCATACGCAGACTTGTGGATTTTGGCCCAGTTCATCGTGTCATTTCTGAGTTCTTAGTCCATTCATGCATAAGTTTGATTCTCGACATCGTCCGATTGATTTATCTTCTGATTTGATGTCGATTCTCCTCCACTTTATAATTATTCTCTGCAAAAGGTTAGTGAACCAAATACTAATGGAATATTATTATTCTAACATGGATATGTATTGCAAGCATAACCAGTTTTCCTCTATTTTGGTAATATTGACGGTCGAAACTGATTGCTAACG